GCCGGCCTGGCCTACGGGCTCTACGGGCGCTGGCGGCTGGGCCGCCGCGTGGTCACCCCGCACCCGGCGCCGCGCGTCCTGCCCGCCGGCAGCAGCGGCCCCCGCGCCGCGCCCGAGCGCTTCTGGGGCTCCTACCGCCCGCACGTCTACTTCGGCATGCGGCCCCGCAGCGCGCGCCCGCCCGTGGCAGGTAGGGGCGGGGCCGGCCGGGGGGGCGGGGTCCGGTCCGGTCCGGTCCGGCCCGGTCTCACCCTCCCCCCCTCTCTCCCCCAGGCCTCATGTGGCTGCGGCAGGCGGCGGAGGCCCGGCTGCGCCACACGTGCGAGCAGAGCGACGGGCTGCCCGGCTACGGCTGGCTGCTGCACGACGGGCTGCGCTTCGGGGCGCAGGAGATCCGCGACCGGGGCCTCGCGCTGCGCACCGACTTCGTGAAGCGGCCGGGCGGGGAGCACGGCGGGGACTGGAGCTGGCGGGTCACGGCCAGGCCGGAGGTGGGGCCGCGGGAATGCAGGGCCCTGCCCGGGGTCAGGGACAGCCGGGAAGGGAACCCAGGAGTCCTGGGCTCCCCCCTCCCCCCACTGTCACCCTTAAGCCACGTGTCCTCCCGGAGCTGGGAGTCCTGACCCCACAGTGCTCGGTGCTGCCCCTTCCTGCGCCCAGCGGAGCCATTGGGCCGGTCTGGGGGGACTCCCTGCTTTGAGCCCCACGTGTTTTCCCGATAGATTGGACCACCGGGCCCCTTGTGTTTTGTGGCGGTTCCTCTCCCGCCCCAGTCTCTGTCCCCGGGGAGCGTTTCCTGCTGTGGGTGGGTCTGTCTCCTGGTTGCCAGGGTCTCGGGGCTGCCCCTGGGGTCTCCAGCACAGAGAGCTACAGGGGCGAGCGATGCCCAGGGTCCATCTTCCTCTTTGCAGAGTCCGGGTGACCAGACCTCCCTCGTCTCCCTGCTCTTCTACGTGGCCACCAACGGGCAGGGGACGCTGCAGCCCCACGTGGAGAACACGCGCTTGGTGTCGGTGACTGGGACATCCGAGGAACTCGGCCATTTCAACATCACCTTCCACAAGCCCACCACAGACACTGGGGAAGCCCTCAGATATGCCAGGTATGGGCGGGAGCCCTGGCTGTGGGGGAAGCTCCTGGCTTTCCCAGGAGGGGCGCTGTGGGGAGCAGGGCAGTAGCTCCGGCTGTGGGCTGTTCCTGGCTCCTAGCCCGGCCTCCCTTCCTGCCCTGACCCCTCCTCTCTTGCAGCTATAACCACCTGGATGCCAGGAGCCCGGGGCTGCACCGCCTGACAGACGTGGTGAAGAGCAGCCTGAGCAACCGCTTTGTTTACGCCGCGCCAGGCGGGCCCAAGCGCCGCTACTTCGCTGTGGACACGTACCGGGCGCTGCCGGGGGAGCCGGAGCAAGAGCCCCAGAGCCACCTGCTGCTGCACCAGGTGACGCTGCCGCTGCCCTGCCGCGTGGAGGTGACCTTTGAGTCCGGCAGCTTTGCCGAGCGCCCCGGCTCGCTGGTGGGGGCGGTGCTGAGCGAGGAGCTGGCTGGGCACGTGGCCGCCTTCGAGCGGCGCTTCGAGGAGACCTTCTCCCTGGCCCGCAAGGGCTTCACGCCCCAGCAGCAGCGCTTTGCCAAGGCTGCCCTCAGCAACATGATGGGTGGGATGGGCTACTTCCACGGGCACTCCATCGTGCAGTCTGCGCACAGCCCGCACCCCCTGCCCTACCCCGAGGGCCCCCTATTCACCGCCGTGCCCTCCCGCTCCTTCTTCCCCCGCGGCTTCCTCTGGGACGAGGGCTTCCACCAGCTGCTGCTGGCGCGCTGGGACCCGGCCCTGAGCCGCGAGGTCATCGCCCACTGGCTGGACCTGATGAATGTGGAGGGCTGGATCCCGCGGGAGCAGATCCTGGACGACGAGGCGCGAGCCAAGGTGCCCCCCGAATTCATCCTGCAGCACAACGAGGCTGCCAACCCGCCCACCCTCTTCCTGGTGCTGCAGCAGCTGCTGCGGGAGCCGGGCCAGGGCCCCGCCGAGCTGTCCTACCTGCGGCGGCTCTTCCCCCGCCTGCGCACGTGGTACGAGTGGTACAACACCACGCAGGCGGGGCCGCTGCCCTACACCTTCCGCTGGCGGGGCCGGGACCAGGACACCGACCTCTTCCTCAACCCCAAGACGCTGACCTCCGGGCTGGACGACTACCCTCGCGCCTCGCACCCCTCGCCAGTCGAGCGCCACCTGGACCTGCGCTGCTGGATGGCCCTGGCCGCGGGAGTCATGGCCGAGGTGGCCGAGCGGCTGGGCGAGCCAGCGGCCGAGTACCGGCGCATGCAGCAGGCGCTGAGTGACAACGCCCTGCTGGAGCAGCAGCACTGGGCCGAGCAGCTGGGCATGTTCGCCGACTACGGCAACCACAGCCAGGCGGTGGGGCTGGAGCGCGAGAAGGTGGCTGTGGGGCCGGGGCAGCCCCGCCACCAGCTCCCTGCCCCGCGCCTGGTGCGGGTGGTCCGCAAGCCCCCCAAGCTGCAGTTCGTGGGGGCCCTGGGCTACGTCAGCCTCTTCCCCTTCCTGCTGCAGCTGCTGCGGCCCGACTCGCCCCGCCTGGCCAGCATCCTGGGGGACATGCGCAGCGAGCAGAAGCTCTGGACCCCGTACGGCCTGCGCTCGCTCGCCCGCACCAGCCCCCTCTACATGAAACACAACACGGAGCACGACCCCCCCTACTGGAGGGGGCCCATCTGGATCAACATGAACTACCTGGCTGTGCGGGCGCTGCACCATTACGCCAGCCTGGAGGGGCCCTACCAGCAGCGGGCAGCTGCGCTCTACCAGGAGCTGCGTGCCAACCTCATTGCCAACCTGTACCGCCAGTACGTGGAGAGCGGCTACCTGTGGGAGCAGTACAGCGACAGCACGGGCCAGGGCCGGGGCTGCTACCCCTTCACGGGCTGGTCTGCCCTGGTGGTGCTCATGATGGCCGAGGAGTATTAGGGGCCAGGCTGGGAGAAGGGGGTTCCAGCTACCAGCGAGGGGGCAAAGGGCACCCCCCGACCTCTTATTCTAACCCTGGTGCTTGGGACCCAGCAGCCACCTCAGGGCCAGGGGTGGGGAGCGGTGGCGTTGCTGCATTACGAGGATACCATGCGCTGCCCAGGCCTTTGCCCCGCTCGTCTTTCTCAGGTGTTTTAATATGAATGTTCTAGGCTGGGGGTGTGTGGGGGGGGTCCTCTGTACCTTCCTTCCCCCCCCCCCCCCCCAAGCTGGGGGGGGGGGGCTCTACTTTTTTTTAAAGAATAAAGCTGAGTAGCTCTACCCTTTCCTGGCTGTTGCCTCTTTGGGACTCAGCGGGGTGGGGGGTGGACACAGCCAGCCATGGGGCACTCTGGGGAGGGGGCCTGTGAGCTCCGCAGGGGGCTAGTAGGTAAGGGGCCTGTTGTGTTTAGGGGTACAGCTGGCCACAGCCCTTTCTCCTGGAGGTTGCAAGGAGCAGGGGCCAGAATGGGAGGTGCCTGGGCAGCAGGGAGCCCCCCTCAGAATCCTGGGGCATGTCAGGGGCCTGTAGTGCTGCTCCACTGATGAGCCCCCCAGGCCAAAGGAACTGCTCCCCCCTCCCCAGGCTGGGCCAAGGCCTGTTCTGCACCAAGCTAGGGCAGCAGTGAGGAGCAGGCCGTTTCCCACTGGTAGCTGGACTCTCCTCCCCCACTTAGAGCCCAAGCGGCAGGAGGTGGGTTTGCCTTGCCCCACCCCCACCCCCCCGCGCAGACACGCACAGGCTGTAATTCCACATCTCTTTAATAATGAGAACTACTGTCCCCCAGAGCACAGACCCGCAGGCTGGGAGCAGAGGCCACGGCTCCCCCCAAGGCAGCAGAGCTGAGTGTAGCAGGCAGCCGCCCACCCCCACTCCAAGTGGGGGGTTGCCATGGGGAAGGCTGCTAGCTGCCCCAGGCCAGCCACCCCACACTCCCCAGGAGAAGCACTTTGGGAGGGGGAGGGGGCGCTGGGCAGGAATAATCTGATTCGTGCAATTCCACCGAAACCCAGTCCCAGTGGGAACTCTACGGGGGGAGGGGAAGTGCCCGGGCAGGGCAGCGCTACACATGGTACCCAACAAATGACAGCAGCACGCAGAGTGAGGGACACACATCGTCTACAGAGAGTCAGTTTGGGGGGACAGCCCCCCACGAGGGCACACTCTCCCCAGGGGCTCCATGCCAAGAGTCCACATCCCAGGGAGGGGTCAGTCAGCCACGCGGTGCCGGTGCAAATTGTCCCCGAGCCGGCACACAGGGCAGAAGCAGAGCTGGAGGCAGGGCCCTGGGACAGGAGGGGTTTGGTCGCTGGGCGGGTGGGACCCCACGCTGCAGCTGGGAGCTGCCTGCTGTCCTGCCCGCCAGGGAGGGGAAAGCCCACGCAAGGCGCTGGTGAGCATGGAGCCCCAACGCTGCCAGCCACAATCACTCAGGAGAGGGAAGGGCCCAGAGGCAGCTGCCCTGGCCCCAGCTCCCCCCCCACTGCCCAGCATGTGGGGCAGGAAGAGGCCAGGGGCCGGGGCACTGCCTCTCCAGGTACAGGAAGAGCCTCTCAGCCCCACACAATTCTACACACCCCACACCACAGGGCAGGAGTCCCAGGCAGCCCACCAGGCGGGATGTGCCCCACCCGAACAGGGTAAGGGCATGGGACAGCCTGCAGAGACCTCTGCCCCTCAGCCAGGAGCACAGAGCTGGGGGCTGGCAGGCAGGGAAAGGGAGCTGGGGTCACAGGGCAGGAAGTGGGGAGCTGCCGTCTGGGGCAGCCCCCAGCTCAGGGCTCAGACAGGCAGGACAGGCGAGCCAGGCTCCTCACTGCCCCCGTCGCTCTGGAGCCCACAGAGGCTCTTGCGCTCCGAGAGCTGGGGGGACTCGGGCCCCGCCTTGCTGAGCAGGTGCATCTCCTCCTCACTGTCTTCCCCGGCCTCCTCCTCCTGGCAGCGCCCCACCTCAATGCCCGAATCGCCCGTCAGGCGCCGGTGCCGGAAGTGCTCACTGCTGTCCCCCTGGGCCGCGCCCTCCTCCTCCCCCATGCACTCCTCCTCCTCCTCCTCGATGTCTGAGCAGCGGTGGTAGTCGGCCTCGAAGAAATCCACGTTGGAGGAGAAGAGGGTCTGCTTGGGTGGGGCCTCGCAGGGGGCTGGCTCCTCGGGCAGCTCCCAGCTGGCGCCGGTGCCCGTGCTGCTGCTGCCGCCTTCCTCGCTGGGCGTGCTGGCCTGGCTGCGCTCCGTCTCATCCGTGATCTGCACCGACAGCGACGTGCTGCTAGGGGAGGTGAGGCAGCTCGACTCGCACGAGCAGCTGGTGAAATTCTCCGAGCTGGGAGACAGGGTCAGGGGACTGGAGCCCAGGCGGCTATGCGGCCCGCCCAGCTGGGCTAGGATGGTGCTGTAGGGGGGAGGAGGGGTGCTGGGATGGTGAGCCACCTCCTCATAGGCGGGCAGCTTAAAGGAAGCCAGCATCCCTGGAGAGGAGAGAGAGAGAGAGTCACCTGGGAACCCAAAGGGGGCCAGCCACAACCACAGACCCCAGCCCCTCCCCCCAGGCAACCCCACCTGCTTCCCGCCCTGTGAGCCCAGCTGACCTCCAGGCCTCTGGAGCTGCCCCTCCTGTCAGCCCCTCACTGTGTGCTCCTGGCATTGCCCCCTCTGCCCCAGACACAGCCTGCCCGCCACCCTGCCCTCACTGTGCTTCCCAGGCTGACCGCCCCGTGGGGTCCAGAGCCACGCCACAGATGTTACACCTGAGCTGGTGAGGACGCAGCCTCAGACCAGGGCGCTCCCCCCCCCAGTGGAGGATCTAGTTCCATGCACGACTTTCCAGCAACAGTGGGGTAAGACCTAGGCTGGCTTTCCAGCTCAGGGGTCTGAGAGCCTGCCTGGGTGGGGATGGCCAGCGCCATGCACACATGGCCAGACTGCCCGAGCTGAGCTCACAGAGGCTGTGCGACACTCACTGAGATCCATCATGGAGGTGGGGTAGTTGCAGGCACCGTGGTAGGCGATGAGGTTGATCTCACGCTGCCGCTGCTGCTGCTGCAGACGCAGTTTGGCGCGGCGGTGCCTGTAGGCGCAGCAGCAGCTGAAGAGGATGAGAATAGTCCAAAGGAGCCAGAACCCTACAGACAGGAGAACACTTGAGAACAACCCTCCTCCAGGAGCCCCCAGTACACCCCCACCTGGAAGAGGCTGGGACTGGAGCAGCCAGGAACTCCCCCCAATCAGTGCCCCTGCTGGACCAGGCCAGGGCTGGAGCAGCTGGGAACTCCCCCCACAGCCAGCACCCCAGCCCTGCTCCCTGCCAGGAGAGGCTGAGAGCTCCTCCCATCGCAGTAAGGATCCCGGAGAGGCAGGTGCTGGCCCCAACCCCCGGCAGCCTAGTGCTGCGCCATCGCCTCCCCACTCACACCAGAGCTCGTAGTAGTAGGTGCAGCATCCAGTCTCTCCGCAGCAGTGGCCCGTCTCACACACGTAGGGCTGGTTCTTCACCCCTGGGCAGTATTCCCGAGCCTGCAGGGAGAGGACCTGGCATTACACTCCACAGCCACCCCACCAGTCCCCTCCCACCGCACTGCACTGGCACCGCATATGGGGCACAGCCCTGCCGGGACGTCTGCAGGAGAGCCTGGGAGCTCCAGGACAGAGGCCGGGCGTCCACGGAGTCTCTGGTGGAGGCGCCTCATGCAACTACAGGCAGGGCCAGGCCAAGTCCCCTGAAGCGCACAGAGGGCTCAGGCTGACGCAGGTGAACCCACCCACCCGTCCCTCACCCCCAACACACACACTCCTCTATGGAGCCAGGGCTGCAGGTTAGCACGACCCCGCTTCAGCACGAGCTGCCCCTGAGGGTGAAGTGTCCCCACCTGGCTAAAGGGATCCCACCCACTGCTCTCTACCCAAGCCTGGAGCCGGGCGCTCTCCCGGGGCCCCGCTCTGCACCTTCAGCACCCCTGAAGGGCTGTCCGGGTCTCGACGCCGGGGTCATGGCGGCCTCCCTCCCTCCCCTGCACGGAGCCTGCTCAAGGCCTGGGCCCCGTCCACACAGCCCTGCTCGGGGTTGATCCGAGGTGCGATGTTAAACCGCCGCAGGCCCGGTCTCATGAGCGAGCGGCGGCGGGTTCCGCCCGGCCCGTGGGACGCTCTGGGGGGTTTGCCTGGGGGTTGCCGCGGCAGACACCGGAGCGCCCGGGGCTGGTTCCAAACCCCAGCGCAGCCCGGGGCGTGTGACACGGGGCCGGTCCCGGCTACGCCAGGGCAGGTTTAGCCGCCCGGGGGGCAGCAGCGCCCCCGGCAGGAGGGCGGGCACGGCTCCCCCAGGCCCGTGCTGCGGGACACGAGCCGCCGGCCCCCGGGCGCCGGGCCCGGCCCGCTCCCCCACCCGCACCCGGCCGGGGGGGGGGGGGGCGGGTTACCCCCCCCCCCGCGGACCGACGCGCTCGTGCGGACAGGGGGGGGGTCGGTGCAGGCCGGGCCCAGCCCGCCCCCGGGGCCCCGCCGCGCGGTACCTGCGGCTGCTGCCGGCCCAGCAGCGCGGCCCAGGCCCCCTCGGAGCCGCCGCCGCCCCCGGGCCGCTCCATGGCGCCGCCTACAGCCCCCC